ATCAACTTAGGACTTGATTGATCCTTTGGGCAAGCTTTGAAATGAATCAAAGGCTATCCCCTTAAGGGTGTCGATGAAAAGTCATGCTTTGATGGCATCATTTCCTACTACATTCTCTATTTATTGATGGAAGTAGTAGACATGTTGGTTCCGGGAACCTTTGTCATCGAACATATGTAACATTAGTGGCTTGAACTTCATTGAGTAAGGAACTGAGTCTCACTCGATGGGATAAGATCAAGTGATTCCAACCTTCTTTTAGCTCTATTTTCTAATCGAGAGCATTGAGCTATTTTTGGTGGTCCTCAAGGACTTTTCTCTCTTGACTTGGCTTAGGAGTCGCTGATGATTCTGACCTTGAATTGCATAGAGTTTGCATCTTCTTGATTCATTTGTTCTTTCTTTAAGGAAAATATGATAATTAATTATTTTCCTTTTGAAGAACTCAAATGAGGTTGAGAAGCCACCATGAGCTAACCAAGTATTTTTTTTCTAATGGCTTGAATCACTCTTCTGAAGTTTTTCTTTGGGCTTCCTTCTGTTGGAGAAAATCTTCTCTCTTCATCATATCTACAGTCCATTGTTTCTCTTGACCCGAACTAGGAGTAACATTTGATGTTATGGCAGAATTGGCCTCAGTAGTATTAGGCTAATTGACCTGAGGTGGAGCTCACAGTACATGTACTAGGAGGAGGGAGTAGTCAACATGGATTGAAGCCCCTTGTCTCAACCTCATGTGACAATATACACTGTCAATTTCTGGTAGTATACTTCCGATATTAGGAAAGTATCTGGGATCAGAAGGATTGTCAGCGTCTTCCTCTTCATCCTAGAGACGACACTAGTCATATTGGCTATGAACTCTTGGAGAATAATTGTACCCTTTCGAGTATATCGTCGTCTTTTAATACTAGCCTTTGAAGGCTTGGGGTCTCGACTAAGATGATTAAAGATTGATTCCTTTTTAGGAATAGCTTTGCATTAGCAATTCTTTTAAACTTCCTTAACAACTTCTCTCATAGTCGCACAATGCTGACATTGGCATGATCTCTTCAGAAATAGAACTCTCTTAGATTAGTAGGAGTTTTAAGTTGAAGCTTTGCTAATTTGGGCTTTGGTATGCGAACGTCGCCTGTGACAATGTTGTCTTGACGCTTAGCATGGTTAGATGAATCACCATTAGTGATCTCATTCCCTTGTAGGAATTTTGATAAGGGAATAACCCCATTATTTGCTTCTGTTGAATAAGCTGTTGGCCTTCTTGTTTTGATGATGTTTAATAAACAATTTACCACTAATGTTGTTTGTCTAGTATTTGTGTTTTCCTATTTATTATAGACAAACAACGTTGTTGGAGGATGGATGGAATAGAGCTTCAACGATGATATCCAAAGGAGGTTGGCGGAATGTCGGTGAAGCCTTGCAAATTCAAAGTTAAAGATCAAGTTCAAGCTTCATCCGCATGTGTACCAAGTTGAGCTACAATGAAGATCAAGATCAATCTTGGGTATATTTAGTATAGGTTTATATTATGTGTGTTATATACTCTAAGCTCAATATTATATTCACACACACATTTATTAGTTTCTTAGTATATATATATATAGTTATATACATATACATCTTGGTTTTTAGTTTTATCCACAAACAAAGTTTTTACAAATAAATTCCAAAAATTATGTATACATGCTTGTTTCCTATGTGGATAAGTTGTTTTGGTTTAATTTCATAGATATGAAACAAATATATTTTCATATACATACTCATACGTTTTACTTTCTATTGTATTTGTGAAAATATTGTTTTCTTGGTTTATAGACTTAACAATAATCATATACATCTTTTACTAAGTCTACAAAATCATTTTGTAATGTTTCAAAACATGGTTAAGCTAAAATGTCAAGATTCATATGTTTACATTTTTATGTTTTGGACTATTTTGTAAAATGATGATATTTATCATTTGGGAAGTCTTTTTAGAAAACCAGTTTTTGTAGCATGTGTATTATCATGTCTACAATCATTCCCCAAAGTTTTACATTTTTCTGAATTTATTTGATATTTTTAAACAGGGTTTTAAAATCAGCAAAACAGTTTTTGAATATGTCAGATTTCGGTCGACCGCACCGGTCGACCGAACATGAGTTCATATTCTCACTGGGCGACAGAGAGTCTGTCGGTCGACCGGTCCGGTCGACCGAAAAACTCCATCGGTCGACCGCACCGGTCGACCGACGAAGGTCCAGAACTCTTCTTCGTGCTTTTGCTCTTTTGTTTTGGGGGTTTTTGCTGAGATTTCTAGTGGGTATATATACCCCATTGCTGATGTCTTTTCAGATTCATGAAGAGAATGTTTTAAGAAGTTTTAAACAAGGTTTTAAACAAGGGTTTAAGCTTGTTTTTGTTTGGTTTAAGTTTGTCTTGGTTTGCTGTTACAAAGAGGAGTTTACAATCAGCTATTGAAGAGTTCATCTTCAACATTTCATCATCCTCTCTTTGTGTTTATAGAGAAGTTTCCTTAACTCTATTTCCTAGCATTTTTACTATTGAATTTCATATCAATTTTTATTGCTAGTTCTTATTGAGTTAAGTTTTATTGAATCTCTTTGTTACACACACCCACTTGAGCTTATTGTATTTGCATACATAGTATATTAGGGTTGTAAGAGTTGTAACATTGAGTGTGAGCTTTTATTGTGTTCTCATCTGTATTAGAGAACAAATCATTTGTTGTTACATTGTGAGTGTTGTAGAGTTTTCGGTTAGCTAGAAAACCGTACTGTGAGGGTGGAGTGTAGCCACACTGTGAGAGTGTGAGTGGAGATCTCCTCGAGGTGAGGAGCGGAGACGTAGGTCGAGGGGACTAAACTCCGTGAGAGAAATTGTGAGGTGTAAACATTGTTCGGGTGAGCGTAGAAAACCCGGTTGTGATAGTGGATTCTCCCCGGGAGTGGGGAGCGGAGACGTAGGACGGAAGGTCCGAACTCCGTGATCATCTTTGTGTGTTTGTGATTGTCTTGGCGTCTCACTTGTGCTTATTATTCATATCATTCTTGTCGCCATTATCTATTGTTCACTTTGTCCACTATCTTGTTTATCTTGTTTATGTTTATATCACCCTTAGTTTATATATCCTTACATATGTATATTTCATCATATAGGATATATCACTTTGTATATATTGCTTATTCTTGCTTATAACTCTTGTATATCTATCTTGCAAGAATACAACTTGTTAATTAATTTTAATTGGCATTTAATCGGATTAGATTAGCATAAGACCCTAATCACCCCCCTCTAGGGCATAAGCATGGTGACCATCACGAGATTCCTTAAAATGAACCCTAAAAGGGGTTATGGACTGATGTCCAAAGTCGGATAAAATGTGAATGCCTCAGCCTTCTATTGTGGCAAGGGTCGATATTTCTTCACTCTGGGCGAGCAAAGCTCAAACTATCTTTGATGAGGTTTACCTTGACACATGCAGGGGTCAAAGTTGACCTTGGTTGCACACTACGACAAATTTTGTGACAACTCCTACGGTAGCTATCGACAATTGGTTAAAGAAAATGAATTCCCCAAACTTCACTTGGTCAAATTCAATGACTAGCGATTTAGAGAAAGACCTGATGCCTTAGTATCAAACCGCAATATAATTTTCTTGTCAGAGGAGGAGCAGAGCCGCAATTTTGTTTCGGGTCTTTTACATTGCAATTAACTTAGATTACAATAAAAAGGAACTACAATGAAACAAAGGAATTTTTTTTCTAGGGTTCTTTTATGTGTGCTGATGGAACATCGATCTTGTAATCCGTTGACGGTCAGACTAAGACGCTGAGTCTCTCACTGATTGGTGATCTCTAACCTCTCGAAAGATAGTCGTAGTCTTCTTTAGGGAGTTACGGAGATTCAGAATGCTAACTTTGCACGTGTGTTTTCTATTTCTTGATGATTGTCTTGTCTAAAAATGAGTAATTTCCCCTCTTATAGGCTAAGAGAGAGTTAATGGCCCGGTCATAAGTGGAGTAAGTAGCCATTGATTTAGGAGAGAATGGGCAAACAATTACCCCTTGAAAATAGCTATAAAACATTCAATTAGCAAAGTTCATCAATGGCTTCGTGGGCGAAGTTCGCTGAAATAGTTTAAGCACAGTTCGCTAAATATGGGTGAGCCATCTCCTTTAGATTGTGGGTGATGTCGCCCACATGGATATCTTTGGGTGAAAGTTCACATGTGATCAACTTAGCGAACTTCACCGATGAGTTCGAATTTAGCACAAAATTCGATTCACGACTTGGCCTACACAATGACGCATTTGAACTCGGCTCAGAGTCTAAATTGGAACTCGACCCACTCTTGACTCGGTCTGGTCGGGTCAAGTTGAGCTGTGCAGCGAGGTTCGCATGTTCTGTTACACTTCGCTACAGCTGGTTGTGGGCTCTAGTTTTGACACATTTGAAGTATCTAGCATGTGGGCATTTACTTCTTGGATCCAAGCTGAACATTAGCATGAATAAAATATATTTTAACCGTCTACATTCAAGTCTAGGATCTAAAGTGTGGCACCAACTCACAATGTGAATTTACACCGTCACGAAGGTCATGCGCAAAAAGCGGAAACTTATAGGGGGCTTCTGCAATCCTAACAATTACTGGGGTGGGGTGGGGTGGGGGTGGTTCACGGTTTTCCTTTCCTTCTAGGATTCATCCTCCTTCAAACGTCCACCTCTCCTCTATATATCCAACCTCCTACCCACCTCTCCAACTCCCCAAACCAAACCCAAATTTAGCCTCCCCCCCAAATATAATAATAATATAAAATAAAAAATTCAAACAAAGCCCAAAGCTCCCATCTCCAAAAATCTCCTCTCTCCCTAAGTAAAATTCTCAAAAGTTGGCGTAATCACGGCTGCGTTTGTAGAGGAAGAAACCGGCGGGTAAATTCTCCGCCGCCGGCCTGCTCCTCCTCAGCCGCACACCAGCCCCTCCCACGCACAGGCGGCCGGCGGCGACTCCTCCCTCCGAAGGCGGATCCCCCTCTGACCTCCTTTTCCTCGCCGGCGGCGGCTTCTGATTAAATTTTTATTTTATTTTATTTTATTTTATTCGTTTTTCTTGGGTTCTTTATTTGATTTTTTTAAAAAGAAGAAGTAAAAAAAATTCCATTAAGAGAATGCTGACGATTAAGAGGGTTCCGACGGTGGTGTCGAATTATCAGGAGGATGCCGCCGAGCCGATCGATGCGGTAGCCGGGCCGAATGCCCTTGGACATTGCTGCCTGCCTGGTAATTTCTATTCTTTTTTTTTTTTACTTTCCCTTTTTACTTTGAAATTTTGATTGTTTTTTTTTGTTTTTAGAAGGTCTATGGAGTTTCTCTTTATGGGTATCTTGGATTTGTTCTGGTGGAATATTCTTTGATCTCAAAAGCTTCGTGGCTTTTTATTAGATTTCTTTATTTGTTGGCTTTAGTTACTGTTTAATATCCTGGAGAATTTAATAGTATTTGGCAAACAATAAAATAAAAAAAAGAGTAATTATGTGAGTAAGAGAAAGGTTTTATGGATGCAAACTCTTGAGATTCTCTGCAACAAAATCCATGCAGAAAGTAAATAGATTCTTTGACAAGATGAGCCGTAACCGCGCTAAACTTTACTTATCTCATGCTTTTAGAAATGACATAAAGCAAACAATTATTATTTGCAGTAAAAAGAGGAGCACTTGAAATTATTTTGGTTCTTCAGAGAAAATTCTGAATCCCTGGTTGTAAGAACATGGAAACTAGTCTTCAGTATTGGGTGAGAAACTTTTCTTCTTTCTCAGGAGAACAGTGGAAAGTGGCTGCTGCTTAATTTTAAAAAAGATGACACTTTTAAAAAAGATGACACTTTTAGCAAGTAAAAGTTATCTTTTACTTAGTAACTTCTATATAAAATTGTTGTCAAAGTAAAAGTATATGCTCATGCTTCCTTAATTCCTTGCAGTATCCAAACTTCCCCTTTATGCCTTCAAGAATGCTCCAAAACCTCTGAAACCAAGCAACAAGTCAAAACCCTCTGCTTCCAAAGAGGATCCTCCATCTGACTACTTCCTCAACACCCTTTTGCTCGGTCAGGTATATAAACATGAAACCCCAATTCTAATCAAAACCTTCCTCTAATATACACACCTTTATATGTATGTAGTGGGAAGACCGAATGAGCCAAGGACTCTTCCGCTATGATGTGACTGCTTGTGAGAGTAAGGTGATTCCTGGACAACATGGCTTCATTGCTCAACTCAACGAAGGCCGACACCTTAAGAAACGCCCAACTGAGTTCAGAGTTGATCGAGTCCTTCAGCCTTTTGATCCACAAAAGTTTAATTTCACTAAGGTTGGTCAAGAGGAGGTCCTCTTTCGCTTTGAGGCTGGTGGTGGAAGGCGCTCTCACTACTTTGATAGTGCTCCCATTAAAGAAAGCGACCCTCCAAATGTTGTTGCAATCAACGTAAGGAACTGGGAACTTATACCTTTATTCTTTGATATCATTAGATTAGTATATGCTCGATAAAAGCATGTGATGGAGAACTACATTAGCATGGATTTTGTTCAATGGAGTTGAGGAAATCCAACATGAATAGGTTGAAAAAGGTTTGTTTTAGAGGTTTGACATGCTTGTGCTTATACCCATTTAGTGAAGTTATCCTAAAGGATTTAAAATAAGGGTTAAGCACAGATAGACCCTCCAATTTGGGGTTACTACCCCTGTAGTCTACTGTTGCAGATAAACCCCCTGAGTGAAAATCTACTGTTGTGAATAGACCCCGCTGAAAAGGGTCAAGAATTTCTCTCTCGGGATCTATCTGCAATATTTGAAATATAGCACTATAGTGGTAGTAAGTTCAGTTTGGCGATAGTACGGGGGGTCCATCCCCAAATAACCCTTTAAATATTGATATATGAAAGGGTTTGAATGTTTGTGGTTTTACCCATTTAGATGTAATGAACAAAAGAACGATTATAAGGCTAGACTCAAATAAGATAAACAAATGCTTTATTTTATGCTGACCTCAAAATGAGTTTGTTCTAATGGATGCAGGTGAGCCCGATTGAGTATGGGCATGTTTTGCTGATTCCACGTGTGCTCGAATGCTTGCCTCAAAGGATCGACCCAGATAGCTTGTTGCTTGCCCTTCACATGGCAGAGGAAGCAGGAAGCCCTTACTTTCGGCTTGGTTACAATAGCCTTGGTGCTTTTGCCACTATTAATCACCTCCACTTTCAGGTAAAGCATTTATTCTTTGTAGGCTCTCTATTATGAGCATAAGCATGAGATTTGAAATATGGTTGTTAATAAAATACTTCAATTGTATGTGTACAGGCTTATTTCATGTCAGCACCTTTTCCAGTGGAGAAAGCTCCAACAGAGAGGATACCTGTGACCAAGGGTGAATCTGAAAATGGAGTTAAGGTATCAAGGCTGTTGAATTACCCTGTGAGAGGCTTGGTTTATGAGGGTGGTAAAACTCTTGAGGATCTCTCGAATATGGTATCTGGCGCTTGTATCTGGCTTCAGGAGAATAACATCCCTTATAATGTTCTCATCTCTGACTTGGGCAATAAGATATTCCTATTTCCGCAGGTAATTGCCAAACTGTAGTTAATTTTCAAGATTTGTTCATCGAGTCTGAGAATTCCTTGGTCTTCTTTACATTTAACATAAAAGAGGAGAAACTAGGAAACTTAATTAATTTCCACTAGAAATCGACACGCGCAAATGCACGTGATATGAATACATATTATTGTCGCATGTTTGTATTCGGAAAGAATATGACATAATCATAATTTTATTTAGAATGTACATTTAATAGTAGGAGGAGATAGTGAGGGACACTTGACTTTCGAAGAGATTTTACCTTCATTATAACTTGAAATCCTCCTCTGATTATCTTGTCCTCATTATTTTGTGTATTAGTGTAAACAAATTGTAGCATAAAAAATATGCTTAGAACCTTGTCTTTTTATTTATAGATATTTATTCTCTTTGCATCTTTTATAACATAAAATATTAAAAATATATTCAATTATGTATGCTCCATCTTTTTTTCATGATATTTGAATGGCATAGAATGTTCTAGAAAGAAAAGGAATAGAAAAGATAAACAAATCATCCCTTGTAAAATTACATAGAATGTTCTAGAAAGGAACAAAATAGAAAAGAGGAAGAAAAAAATCTTTCCTTGTAAAATTACAATTCTAATCTTTTTAAAACAATTGGAAATGATGGTTCGTCCACCACTCATCCATTCTTTTCCTACCCCTAGTTGCTTCTTTCTATATTAGTATAGATGTAGGTTATAAAATCATCCCAATCATAGAGTGATTATGTTTCCTTGTTGTATTTTTCCAGCTATGTTCTTTATTCTCTAATTCTTTAAAGAGCCCTATAAGGTACCAAAAATCCTTCAAACTGAAGGCTGCACATTAAGCAATAATTCTCTCGTTTTAACTGTAAGACCCAATGGCAATACACAGTGCTGTATTTGGGAAGTCTATAACACTTGAAATACAAGGCATTTGAATTGTATAGCCAAGTCCTTATAGAGACTTTGTATTTTGGAAGACATGCTCCATAAGATAAAATTGTTCCGGGTATATCTTGTGTATACATTAGTGATTACATTGTCATGTGAGGACTGTCCATAAGATAAAATTGTTCCGGGTATATCTTGTGTATACATTAGTGATTACATTGTCATGTGAGGACTGTCTTCCTAGTATGTATGCAAAGGGTATATCTTGTGTATACATTAGTGATTACATTGTCATGTGAGGACTGTCTTCCTAGTATGTATGCAAAATTGTTAGACAAGCAAAGGATTCATCATGAGAACTTTTCAGATCACTTCAAAGCCTTATTTACGAAAGCTATCTGCACACAGATTTTAGTGTTACAAGTGAGCAAGGATCATATTACTTATAGCAGAAAACCGAAGTGAGCCGTGTGTTTTTGTTGAAACCATTCGATTAAAAGAAAATGGTAGGTATTAGATTTGTACAGCTGCATAGATATCACACTGAAATCGGTGGTTCGCTCAAGTTTTAGTGATTATATTTTGAGGAGCATGCATACTGACATGCAAGTTAGTTTTCCAATCTTGCTAATATATATATATTATTTTCTTTGTGCAGTGCTATGCGGAGAAGCAGGCTCTGGGTGAAGTGAGCCAAGAATTGTTAGACACCCAAGTAAACCCTGCGGTGTGGGAGATCAGTGGGCACATGGTGTTGAAGCGGAGAAAGGACTACGACGATGCGACTGAAGCTTATGCTTGGAGGCTTCTAGCCGAGGTCTCGCTCTCCGAGGAAAGATTCAAGGAGGTTGAGGCTTACATTCTCGAGGCCATAGGGATGGTGGAGCCCCCGGAGGTAGAAGGGGATATAGCTGAGGCGACCGGCTTCGAATCTTCGCCTCCAGTGGCTGCTCCAATTCCGGATGGGTGTCTCGTTCTTCAGTGAAGAGAGATGATTATGTTCTTGTCCTTGAAGTACTGGATAATAAAGGGTCAGTAATAGTTGGTGTTCTAGGTGATAGCCCTGGCTGGATGTGGCTAGGTGTTTGGGTCTATTAGGGCCGGTTGCCTGTATGAACCGTACTCTCTGAACCAAAAGACCAACAGTGTTTGGTAATAATAGTGGTTTTAATAATTTTCTGCTAGCAGTTACGGGGGGTTTGTATATGAGTAAGTAGCATGGACATGCCCTTGCCATAAAATAATGTTAGGGGCACACCCCCTAACACACCACCAACCACACCCCCCTCTCCCATCGCTACAGTAAACCGGGCCCCACATGGGATTTTAGAATTTTTAAAATCCCATGTGGGGCCCGGTTTACTGTAGCGATGGAAGAAGGGGGTGTGGCTTGTGTTGGTAGGGGTGTGCCCCTAACACCACTCATTGCCATAAGTATGTTGTGTTTTTCCGCGAAAGTTGACTGCCATTGTCGATTCCATTAACTTTATTTGTTTACACGGAAATTACACATGAAACTGAAACAAAAATTACACTCTCTCGAGAAAAATAACACAGAACCATGTCATCACAACTCCTGCTTTGTCGACTTTGCTGTGCGCGTGAGTCTTTGGCTCGGTTGACCAGCCGGATTCAAGATCGTGCAGGGTGCTTAGGGATCTCTCCTTCGTTTATCGAACGTAAGATTTGAAAACGAATATTTATCGGATGTAAATCTGTCTTCTTCATAAGTCAAGTCTGAGCTTAGTTTTCTCTAGGAATCACGAATGATGCTTAGTCAAGGGTGAAAAGTTCTCTCTCTTCTTCAAAATCACTAAAAGCTCAAGAGCCTCTTCTGCTCGCTAAATGCCTCTGTCCTTTTATTCTGGTGTAGGAGTATATTATTATGGGGTCTGCACGTGCACCACAGCTTGATAACGGGGGACGACAGAATACTGACCGAGTGTTTTCTCTTGGCGCTGCAGTCTACACTTTGCGCGGCTATTGCGTGCGCGTATAGTGCTGTCGCCTGGCAAAGAGGTGGTTATCAGCACAGTCCCATCGTGGCTTGAACGCTTTCCTACCGACCTGTTAACACTCTTTTTTCGTGTTTAACGTGCTTGTGCCACGGTCAGCATCACGTTCTATTTCCATGATACGCCGCCCACGTCTAGACTTCAAAACATTCATTCGGAATAACAGCACTTATTAACTGGCCATCATCATCCTTCTTTAACTGCCGGGGCACTGTAGGTTGCAGCGGCCTAAGCCGCCGGCCAGCCCTAGGCTGCCGCGGCCGCGGCACCATGGGCTGCCGCGCCTTAGCCGCGGCACCATTGGCTGTCGCGCCACAGTGCTGCCTGATGACGTGTATATCGTTCTTCTATGTTGTTTTGAGTGGTGTTTGGATGTCTGTAAGCATTTTTTGACGCCTACAGATACCCCCTCCAAAGTGTTCCAGACGTATTATTTTATAGAGGAGTCTGGGGCACTTTGGATAAGACAGGCCTTATTTGCAATCCCTTCAATACTTGATTGAGTAGATCGTACGGAAGGACCCGTACATGGCTTCAAATCTTGACCTCTTCATCTTTTGGTCTATCCAGTGCTTTGTAGAATAGACAAAATTTTTCCGGTGCTACATTTATCGCTTGACCGTTGTCGAAGTCTTGGCTTAGAGCTGGTGGAGGAATAGTTTATACTCATATACCTTATTGGAGTGTTCGGGAAATAGTTTAACCTCATATACCTGTTGGGAGGTAGTCAGGTTATTCTTAAGAATATTTTGAGTGATATTCTCCAGAAACTTCCTGTTGATGGTAGGGAAACAGTTTAGACTCGTGTACCTATTGGAGTAGTATGGTCTCTTTTTTGTTGGGGTCTCTTTTTTGTTGGTAGAGATGAACCCAGAATCGGAGAGGAAGAATTTTATATTCTATCTCCTGGTCTCTTTTTTGTTGGTAGAGATAAACCCGATGATGGAGAGGAAAAATTTTATATTCTATCTCCAGGTACAAAGGAAACTCAAAGTGGGACCTACACTTAGAGAATCTGGACGGGTTTGAATAATCCTAACTGTCATAAGGTTTGATTATTCAACTGAAAGTGGACCTCTCGTTCATGGAAGGAATCGAAAGGGGATTTTAGTTTTGGTCCTAACTGTAGTAAGGTTTGACCAAGTGGGAGTTCTGAGACGATCCTAACTGTTTAAATGTTTGATCACTCGATTTATGGACCTCTCGTTCATTGAAGGAATCATAGTTTTGATTGCACAAATCGAAGGTGGACCTCTCGTTCGTGGAAGGAATCGAAAGGGGATTTTGGTTTTGGTCCTAACTGTTTAAAGGTTTGACCAAGATGGGAATTTGAGACGATCCTAACTGTTTAAAGGTTTGATCGTTCAATTTGTGGACCTCTCGTTCATGGAACGAATCGAGAGGGGATTTTGGCTTTGGTCCTAACTGTTTAAAGGTTTGACCAAGATGGGAATTTGAGACGATCCTAATTGTTTAAAGGTTTGATCGTTCAATTTGTGGACCTCTCGTTCATGGAACGAATCTAGAGGGGATTTTGGCTTTGGTCCTAACTGTTTAAAGGTTTGACCAACAGGGAATTTAAGACGATCCTAACTGTTTAAAGGTTTGATCGTTCAATTTGTGGACCTCTCGTTCATGGAACGAATCGAGAGGGGATTTTGGCTTTGGTCCTAACTGTTTAAAGGTTTGACCAACAGGGAATTTAAGACGATCCTAACTGTTTAAAGGTTTGATCGTTCAATTTGTGGACCTCTCGTTCATGGAACGAATCGAGAGGGGATTTTGGCTTTGGTCCTAACTGTTTAAAGGTTTGACCAAAATGGGAATTTTGTGAGGGAAGATTGATCTAAAGAGGTGATCGAATATCATCTCAGCAAAAGAGTATTCGAAAGTCATAGTAGGAGTTTAATGTTTATCACTTTGTTCATAATGATCGGGGTTATCCCTAAGAATATTACATTTAACATTCTTCCGAGAACTTCCCGTTACATGAATTATCCACCCCCAACTTCCTTTGCGAAACCGGGTTTAACATTGTACTTAGTTGGATAATCGAGAAGCAGTTTATACTCATATGCTCTTTGGAGTGTGGGGAAACAGTTTATACTCGTGCACCCACTGGAGTTGTATGGTCGTCTTTACTCGACTTCTTTCGTCGTTATGACGCCGGAGTCAATTAGGGCTTGGATCTTGTTTTTGAGTCCAAAGCAAATCTGGGTGGGATGAAGAACCCTTCTGTGGTACGCACAGTAGGCGAGGAGGTATTCCAAGATGGCTGGAGCTTCATCATCTTCAAAAGAATATTCCTTTTGAAACCTCGGATCGAGAGTCGCATTCTCAACGATTGCAGATGTCATTGGTTGGCCTCTCTCGGCTTTCTTTCTTTTAAGAAAATGCTCAGCTTGTTCACCCTGAGATTTTAACTCCTTCCAAGTTGTGGATGACACGACCCCCAGAGCTTCCAGGACATCAATGAAGAGGTTATTGTGGCATGTTTGCAGGATGAACTCCTCTATAATAGGATCTCTGCAATTCATTGCTTTGTTACGGAAACGTTTGACAAAATTGTCAACTGACTCTCCGTCTTTTTGCTTCTCATCCAAAAGGGTTCCGATTGACACTTCGGTGTCATCATCGAAGAAATTGCTGAGGAACAAACTTTCCACGTTATCCCAGCAATTGATGCTCCCTGGCTTGAGCCGTCGGTACCAATCGAAGGCGGGCCCACGAAGGGTGCCAACGAATGACCGAACCATTAAAACCTCATTTCCAGAAATCATGCCTAAATGAGACTTGAAATAAATAAAGTGTTGAATAGGCGAGCTCTTCCCCTCAAACGGTGTGAAGTTAACTAGATTGAATTTGGCCGGGTATGGTATTGAATCCCATTCTCTTGGATAGAGACACGGAATACCTGTCTTTTTCCCTTCTTGAGCCGTCATCAAAGCGTTGATTTTGTTTTCAAGCTCTTTCATTTTCTCATCCTCGTCTATGTCTTCATTCGAAGGACGTTGACGAGAATGAGTTAGACCACCCCCTGTGAGAGTTGCTATTGAACCATCCCTAATATCGTTATTGGTAGGGTCCGTTAAACCACCCCCAGCGTTATTGCTATTAGGAGGTGTATCAGCCATAATGACTTCATCCACTTCTGGATCACTGTCATCCATTCCGAGTGTGGTGGCTGGATTCAGCTCGCTGACTGGACTCAGGAGGTTGAGGCCGTTGAGTTAGCAATTCTCTCATTTGTTGGATAGCTAACTCCATTTCTGTCTTCACTTCAGCTCTAATTTCTTCACGTTGTTTGGCTAGAGCTTCTTGAAGTATTTGAGCGAACTGATCAGAGGTGATCGTGAGTACTTCTATGGTTTGTCCCGTGCTAGACATTGTATCATCAGAAGCAATTGCAGAATAAGTGTCCGAGAATTCATCCTCCGAGGACATTCCTTCTTGCATTCTCTTGTAATTTCTGCGTCTGATGGCTCCTAATTGGAGTCGAGACATCCTTTGAGCAATTCTTGGATTGACTCTTCCTTTCGGGGAAAAGTCAGGATTTGAGTCACTTGAATGCCGCTTAGACTTTCTTTTATCAGCCACGTAGATGGTGACTTCAGGGAATTCATCATCTTGGGCAGCTGATTTTCTCTTGCAGAAATGCCTCGGCTTAAGCTTCAATATTTCGGTGAAAAGACTGTGGAATACCGAGACTCTTCGTGAGATGGCTTCTCGTTTGAAACAGTCACATTCTGATAGCATTGCTCTAATGAGTCGCGCACAGGAACAATGAGAGTTCATTTCCCGGACAGTTCTCTTTCGAGTTTTGTTCATACCCCCAGCTTGATAGTATGATTCATCGGTATGATTGCCGGAAAATCTTATCATCTGTTGGTATGACACCCCAGGTATAACGATGTCTTTTGACAACCATGTTTTCTTCTGAGGATGTAAAACCTTATTGGCATTCTCAGGACAACTTATTATTGTCTTTGAATGATCCAAGGTTATGTCGGGAGTCACACGTTTAGAACCACCCCCTTGTAGGCATGGAATCTTAACGGGCTCCGAATGCTGATTTTGCACAACTCCATATTTTGGAATCCTAACTTTGTAGAGTTTTGGTGGTTCTTTGACCACCGTTTCTTTGTTTCTTTCTCGTCTTTGTTGTAAGAGAG